AGTCTGGTGCATGAGATTAGCTACAATGGAGCCACATCATCACCAGTGAACTTTGAATTCTGGATTATCCATCTGAGAGCACAGCCCTCGAACACTTCAACGAAAGGAGTAAATCTACCAGGTAGCAGAGTAGTAGGTTGTTACCTCTTTTGCAGGCCAGCCGCTACAGAAGGGTCCGACAAACATTTTGCAAGCCTTTGCTGAGAAATGTGTAGTGCTGATTTGGTTTGGTGCACCGTGATCACTGTAATTGCTGCTAGATGTCATCACAGGTGCATTTTTATGAAGTTGACAAAGAAAGGTTCTTTTATTACTACAGTACAGTAACGCCGATAGGTTCGATATGAGACTAGAGCCCTGTTCCGGGCACTGTGTAGATCCACAATGATTGGCTCTTCATGGCTCAGAGGAGATGCACAGGGCAGGAAAGGAATTGTCATTAGTCCTGTTTGATAGACAGAAGCATGGAAACATTGATCTAAGATTTACAAAGGAATTTGGTGGCGATTTGACATGCAAAAAGGTGAATTTAGTATTCAAACACAATTGAAAACCAATAAAAATTGGAGTAGGATTTTTTTTAAACGCTCAAGTGATTTAGGAGCATAAGTTCTTCTGATTTAGGAGCACAAGCTCCTCATAAAACAGCCTTCTCCCGTTCTCCTCATTGTCTTCATAGAATCATAGAGCTGGAAGAGACCTCAGGGGGTCATCAAGTCCAGTCCCCTGCCCAAGGCAGGACCAATCCCAACTAAATCAACCCAACCAGGGCTTTGTCAAGCCGAGACTTCAACACCTCTAGGGATGGAGATTCCACCAGCTCCCTAGGTAATCCATCCCAGCGCTTCACCACCCTCCTAGGGAAATAGTTTTTCCTAATATCCAACCTAGACCTCCCCACTGCAACTTGAGACCATTGCTCCTTGTTCTGCTGTCTTAGGTGGCTTTGAAATGTCCCTGTTTCAAAGAACTCCCCAAGGTCACCTTGAACTGAGAATTGACCCCCGTGGTCTTGGGGACAGTTCCAGCAAATTAAATACAAGACCATCTTTCTGCTCCTGGATAAGTGTTACGCTTGCTCAGTATATTTCTGCTCACTCTTCTTACCAGCCTCCCTCATTATCTGGGCGGCCTCTTGGTGTGGACCCCAAACGTCAGACATGTTCTTTCTTTTCAAAGGCATCTCAGCAATGAGACATGCCATTGTAGCAAGCATGTCCACTCATCCCGCATCTTCCAGCGCATCCTCTCTTTGGAACCATAGCTAATGGTAGGGTCTTTGCCATTTGACGGATGTGACTTTGGAGAAGAGAGGCAGTAAAGTCAACATGTTCATGAATGGCAGGTTCCCTAGCGTGTGAAAGGCTGACCTCAGACACCCTGGGTTTGATTTTTCAGGGGGTTTTAGATATTGAGTAGAACTCATCAGAAAATTAGATTTTTTTTCCAATGACAAAAATTAATTTCATCTGTTTCCCATGACAAAGTTTGTCTTTTGGGCCAAACAACCCGAGTGTCACATGTAATTTAGTTGCCTCAATGCATCTATAGCCCAGGCTCCCTTCTTGGATTACACCTACCACAGGTTTCTTAAATAGTCATGGGAGGCAATTGCACCATGGGAGTTCCCATTTATGGTGCATCATGGGAGATATGGTATAGTTGGGGAGAATAACCTGGGGCCTATCTACACTAGGAATTTATTTCAAAATAATTACTCCGGATATGTCTACACAGCAAAATTATTTTATAACAGCCATTATTTCAAAATAACTTTCCTAGCGTCTACACAAGCCAACTGCTATTTCGCAATTAATTTGAAACAGTGGAGGGCTTAGTTCAAAATTGGTAAACCTCATTCCACGAGGAATAGCGCCAATTCTGAAATTCCTATTTCGAAATAAGTGCTGCATAGATGCTTATTTCGGAAGAGGGGGCCTCCAAACGTTCCAAGGGTGCCCTGCTGGCCGCCCTGGCCACAAGATAACTTCTGACCTGATGCCCTGACAGAACCAGTCCCGGCTGGCCTTAAATATAATTCTGCGTCCAATCAGTGTAGATGTGTTATTTTGAAATAAGATATTTCGAAATAACTATTTCAAAATTAGATATTTCGAAATAAAGCTGTAGTGTAGACATACCCTCCCAAAATAACTATTCCAAAATAGCATGTCCTCACTATGGAGAAGCCTCAAAATTAGTCCAAGGCAGTCCCCTTTAAGGTAGATGTGATACCTTGCTGTTAGAGCCCCAGCAAGCAATGGGGAGTAATTACTCTGCATGACTTTGGGGAGTAGTTATTTCGAAAAAGCAGCAGCGTCCACACTCTTGCCATTTTAAAATAATTATTTTGAAATACGTATTATTTCTCACAGAAAGCAAGAGCCATTATTTCAACATAACCAGCCGTTGGACACACAGCTCGTTATTTCAAAATAAGGGGCGTTATTCTGAAATAACTCGCCAGTGTAGACCAGAACTTAATGAGGGGTATGTCTACACAGCAGTGTTATTTCAGGATAATGGTCGTTATTCCGAAATAACAATGCGAGCGTCTACACAGTTTTCGAAATAATGGACAGCTTATTCCAAAATCTGTAAACCTCATTCTACGAGGAATAATGCCTATTCCAAAATAGTTATTTCGAAATAAGGTGAGTGAAGATGCTCCATTTGTGCTATTTTGAAATAGCCCCTCCCCATGGCCATTCTAAGTTATTCCTCCCCAGTGACTCCTGGCACTCTAAATCGAGATAGCACATCTACATTAGGGAAACCTTTTTCTCCATGTAGCTGAGGAGAATGGGGATGTAAGGAAACTGAACTAAAATCCCATGAGACACCGCCAACGTATTTTCAATACATTGTTTTTTCAACCATTTGGGGATGGAGGGTTCTGGAAAATCAAAATTTCCCACCAAAATTTGGCATTTAGAATTTTTTTTGTCAAAAAGCCAATTTTCTGTCAAAACACACCAGTACCGGAATCAATATATTTTCAACACATCTCACGGGACACACAGTCTTGCCTCAGAACTGCCCCAAAGTTCTGGCAGGAACATGGAGTATGATTTACAAGGTGCCAAAAGGAGCTACCTGCCCACTGAGACCTCACGTCTGAACCTCCAGCCCATCCTCCCCAGCGTTGGAACCCATGGCCACTTGTGCATGCAACGTGCCACCCATCAGACTAATCAGTAGCTTGGCCTCTTCCCTGGCGGTCCTTATCTAGGAGCTGAGAATTGCCTTCCTCAGTGCATCCTTGACCTCCTTGTTCCTGAGGCAGTAGATGAGGGGGTTCAGGAGGGGCACCACCGTGGTGTACAGCACCGACACCAGCTTGTTGGAGCTGTAAGCGTACATGGCTTTGGGGCGGGTGTAGGTGAAGAGGGTGGTGGAGTAGAACAAGACCACCACGGCCAGGTGGGAGCTGCAGGTGGAGAAGGCCTTGTGCCTGCCCTGAGCCGAGGGCATCCGGAGCACGGTGAAGAGGATGCAAACGTACGAGGTGACCACGATGCACAGCGGCACCATGATGACCAACAGGGCCAGGATGAAGTCTACTAGCTCGGCAAGGGAGGAGTCGGAGCAGGAGATGTTCAAGAGGGGGGAGATGTCACAGAAGTAGTGGTTGATGGCGTCCGTGTGGCAGAACTGGAGCCGGGCAATGAAGCTCAGCTTGATGGTGGCTGTGACTAAGCCACAAACCCAGCAGCCAGCCGCCAGCTGGGCGCAGAACCTACCGCTCATGATGGACGGGTACCGCAAGGGGCTGCAAATGGCCACGCAACGGTCATAGGCCATGGCAGCCAAGAGGATGTACTCCGTGCACACAAAGGTCACAAAGAAATACAGCTGCGCCATGCACCCTTGGAAGGCAATGTGCTTATCCGGGGTCATGAAATCGGCCAGCATCTTGGGCGCAATGACCGTCACGTACCAGATCTCCAGGAAGGACAGGTTGCCCAGGAAGAAGTACATGGGCTTGTGCAGGCGGGTTTTGGCCCGGATGACGAGGAGAATGACGATGTTTTCCATCAGCGTTAGCAAATAGGCCAGGAGGAAGACCGAGAAGAGGAGTCGCTGACGCCCGGCAGACGTGGTGAATCCCAGCAGAAAGAAGTGACTGACGTGGGTTTGGTTTCCTTCATCCATCCCTTCCAGGCAACGCCTTCCTGCCCCACCTGTGGTGAATTCAATCACGATTAGTCCAATTCCAGCCCGTGGAGAACAGCTGGGGCCCAACCCAAGAGGGCGGCCCCATTGTGCTGGACTTTACACATCCGTTCCGTGTGCAGCGGCAGTCAAAAAAGTAAACAGAATTTTAGGAATCATTAAAAAAGGGATAGAGAATAAGACAGAGAATATTGTATTGCCTCTACCTAAAAACATAGGACGCCCACATGTTGGATACTGCGTACAGATGTGGTCACCTCATCTCCAAAAAGATCTCTTGGCATTGGAAAAGGTTCCGAAAAGGGCAACAAAAATGATGAGGGGTTCAGAACGGGTGCCCGATAAGCAGAGATTAAAAAGACTGGGACTTAGAAAAGAGGAGACTAAAGGGAGTTGTGCCCGATAAGCAGAGATTAAAAAGACTGGGACTTAGAGAAGAGGAGACTAAAGGGAGTTACGGCAGAGGTCTATAAAATCATGGCAGGTGTGGAGAAGGTGAAGAAGGAAATGTTATTGACTTGTTCCCATAACAGAAGAACAATGGGTCACCAAATGAAACGATTAGTTGGCAGGTTTAAAACAAACAAAAGGAAGTTTTTCTTCATGAAGCGCACAGTCAACCTGTGGAACTCCTTGCCAGAGGATGTTGGGAAGGCCAGGACTAGATGAATACATGGCGGTTAGGTCCATCCTGTTAGCCAGGTGTTGGAGAGATGGTGTCTCTGGTCTCTGTTTGTCAGAGGCTGGGAATGGGCGACAGGGGAAGGGGTCACTGGATGGTTCCCTGTTCTGTTCCCTCCCTCTGGGGCACCTGGCATTGGCCACTGTGGGGCAGATAGGACACTGGGCTAGATGAGCCTTTGGTCTGACCCAGTGTGGCCATTCTTATGTATTGTCCCTGCACCAAAGACCACTGGGCTCTGATTAGACAAGAGGGACTCGTATTGGAAATTCTTCATGCCAGAAGCCATCTTTTTGCTCTGTGTTTGTACAGCACCTAGCACAGTGAGATCTCAAAGGGAATTAGGCACCTTGGTGCTTTTCAAAATGCCTTTAAGCATCTCTTTGCTTCTTTAGGTACTTCAATGCCTCTCCAACTCTTGCCAAGACGACCCAACGGTGCATTGAAAGTCAGGCGCCCATGGCTTAGCCCACCAAAGGAATCAGGCACCTACAGGCCATATTTAGGTCTCTATATCCGGGCTTGGCTGCCTAAATCCAAGTTCCGGACTCCAGTGCAATGCCCACAACTGCCACTGGACTAGGTGCCGGCAGGTAGGTGCCCAGAGGATGCCGGTTGAATTGGCTGCCGGCCTTCAGTAAGCGGAAGGGGGTTCCAAAGAGGATGGAGAGAGGCTGTTCTCAGTGGTGGCAGATGGCAGAACAAGGAGCAATGGTCTCAAGTTGCAGCTTTTTTGGGTGGGAGAGAACATCAAAGGAAGGGGAAAGGAAAGGGACATCTCAGTTTCCATCCAGTAGAGAGTAAAGAAAAGTTTCTAAAAAGTTAGGATATTTTTTTTCCAATATTTTCTGAGGTCCCTCGTTTGCGGTATGTTACCCGCTCTGTGGCTACCAGGCCAGCACGTTACTAGGCCAAGTGTCTATGCCTACGGGGCTTTGGCTGGCAAGGAGGAGAGGAGTGAGAATAGAAACCTTTGCAAATCCCAGACCCCCGTCAGGGAAACTTACATTTCAGTGAGAGGTCAAAATGCAGCCAAGGGAGGCATTTCCTTCAGTCCAGCTGTAGCCAAACTTTTCCTCTGTGGAATATTTACAGGAGAGGATTCATTAGAAGAGTTCTTGAATATGGGAGAGTAGATAGATGCACCGTCCCATGCACTAATCAATATGCTAACGATTCCCGCAGCCCAGTCCTTATTACAGAAACGACCGGTGGTGACAAGCAATTCGTAATGAGCTGAAATAGCCTCATTCTGGGTCGTTAACTCCCTCGTCACTGAACACATTCGCAGTATCAAGCAGGCCGCATCAGTCACAATACTTTGGATTCATGCACAAAGTTTCTTAGGCTCTGTCTGGTCTTACACACTGTCACGGGCAATGTGATTCATTTGCTAACGAAACTGAATGCCTCCTGCGTGCACCTGTTCTGTCCTTGTTTTCTCTCAGGCTATGTCTACGCTATGACTTTTTCCGCAGGAGGCAATGCAAATGAAGCGTGAATTGGCATTTTCTCGTGCTTCATTCGCATACTCTTTTTCGTTCTGTTTTTGTGCTCAGGGGTTTTTGCGCTAAAACAGGCAGTATGGCCATGGCTGTTTTGTGCAAAAACCCCTTTTTCCGCAAGATCCTTATGCTCTCAGGCAAATTAGGATGCAAAAGAAGCACAAGAAAATGCTAATCCACGCTTCCTTTGCATTGCCTCTTGCGGAAAGAGTCATAGGCTGTGTCCACACTGGCATGAATTTCCGGAAATGCTTAAAACGGAATACTATTCCATTTTCAGTTTTTCCAGAAAAGGAGCGTCTACATTGGCAGGCTGCTTTTCCGGAAAAGCCCTTTTTCCGGAAAAGCGTCTGTGGCCAATGTAGACGCGCTTTTCCGGAAAAGAGCCCCAATCGCCATTTTCGCGATCGGGGCTTTTTTCCGGAAAAGACTACTGGGCTGTCTACACTGGCCCTTTTCCGGAACAGTGTTCCGGAATAAGGACTTATGCCCGAGCGGGAGCAGAATAGTTTTTCCAGAATAGCGGCTGATTTTGTACAGTAGAGCATCGTTGCTTTTCCGGAAATTCAAGGGCCAGTGTAGACAGCTCGCAGCTTATTCCGGAAAAGCGGCTGATTTTCCAGAATAAGTGGCTCAGTGTAGACACAGCCATAGTGTAGACAAAGCCTCAGATGACAGACAGACAGGCAGATAGATAGATGTATGGGGATAGATAGACAGACAGACAGATAGAATCACAGAATACTAGAACTGGAAGGGACTTCAGAGGTCATCAAGTTCAGTCCCCTGCCCTCACGGCAGGACCAAGCAACGTCTAGAGCATCCCCGACAGGTGTCTGTCCAGCCTGCCCTTCAATATCTCCAATGATGAAAATTCCACAACCTCCCTGGGCAATGTATTCCAGTGTTTCACCACCCTGACAGTCAGGAAGTTTTTCCTAATGTCCAACCTGAACCTCCCTTGCTGCAGTTTAAGCCCATTGCTTCTTGTCCTGTCCTCAGAGGCCAAGGAGAACAATTTTCCCCCCTCCTCCCTGTGACACCCTTTTAGATACTTGAAAACGGCTATCGTGTCCCCCTCTCAGTCTTCTCTTTTCCAAACTCAATCAACCCAGTTCTTTCAGTCTTCCCTCATAGCTGCTGTTCTCTAGACCTGTCATCATTTTTGTTGCTCTTCTCTGGACCCTCTCCAATTTCTCCACATCTCTCTTGAAATGTGGTGCCCAGAACTGGACACAATACTCCAGCTGAGACCGAATCAGTAGAGAACAGAGCGGAAGAATGACTCCTTGTGTCTTGCTCACAACACTCCTGTTAATGCCGCCCAGAATCATAGCTATGCAAATCACATAACTTATTTTGATCTTATTTCGAAATAGCTTATTTGTTCATTTAACTCGAAATCACCCCCTATTCCAAAACGTCCCTTCTTCCTTGTGGAGCGAGGTTGACAGGGACGCTGGAATAGCATGCCCCTTATCTTGCGAAATAACGGGTGTGCTGATAAGACACGGGATAGCTATTTTGGGACACCTCCAGAAATAGCACAGCTGTGTGGACATAGCCAATCTGAATAGAGATGTTGAATTTGGGACTTTTTATGGGGGTCTGCAAACACCATCTCTACATCCACTTCCTTCTCCCTCTAGGAAGGGAGGGGTGGGAGCAGGCTAACGGGTCCCTGAAAACACGTGCTAGGTAGTTACGCTGAACAATCTCTTCCCTTTGCATTTCATTCTGGCTTGGAGTCCCTTTCCCCAGCCTGCAGACAAGCTCTGTGCAAACTCACAAGCGCCTCTATCTCCCCATAAAAGATATCACTTCGCCACCTTGTCTCTCGCATACCTGGGACAAGGACACCACCTGGCTTCCAAGTCTCATACGATTGCTGTTGATTGCAGGCATCTGGTTCCAGAGTGTCCTTTCAAGAATCAAGTTGATGTTGGTCCTGCCTTGGGCAGGTGGCTGGACTTGATGAGCTCCTGAGGTCTCTTCCAGCTCTAGGATTCTATGAATCCTGCCTATTGAAAGTTACGCCTGGGTAAATGCAGCCGTACATAGTTTCCCCAGATGCCTAATCCATACTGAAGTTTCAGAGCTAGCAGGCAGGACAGTTGGTAAAACACACCTCGCCACGGAAGGAAAATTTGCCTTCAAACATGGAGTAGCTGGAGAGCAGAGTGGGTCTGGACAGCAAAGTTCAGCACCAGGTACATGAAGGATGCCGGTGCCGGTATGTGTGTGTCTCTTTATTTGCCGTCGGTGTCCCTGGAGGGGACCCGTTGGAAGCAAGCACACTGCGAACAAACTCATCTGTCGGCACAGGTGCTCAATACCTAGTAGGCTGCGCCTGTTCTGATTCATTGGGGTCTCAGCTCTGGGAGAGAGAGGGAGGAGCAGGGCCGGAGCAGGACTCAGGCGATGGTGGAGCTCTGGAAGGGCTGGGAGGGAAGTACAGGCCCCTCAGGCATGGCGAGGACCTTTCGGCAGCTTTGGGAACCTCAGCAGAACCCAACAGAGGTGCCTCCAAGGCCAACGGATTCCTAGAGGATCATGGAAACATGTGGGCTGGATTCCCCTGCTGGTGCCAATCAAACTGGCTGCATTGGCGTCCATGGGGCAGATCACCTGCTGTGGGGTCAACTGGAGTGGAGCCATGGGCACCATTTTAAGGGGCAAGGGGGGCTGCACACTTCCCCCCACCACACACAAGTTTCAAAGAATCCCAGGGCAGGCAGAGCCCTCAGGAGGCATTGAGTCCAGACCCCTGACCAAAGCAGGACCAACCCAAC